CTCTACTCGGCACGAACAATCTCTAAGACTGGAACTGACGAACACCTGAAAAATAATGGTGGGTCAGGCCCACATACAAGTTGTAATCTACTACATCCCAAACAGAGACCCGATACACATACACATCCAAATTAATTCAACAATAACTAAATAGTCCATATATAGATATATACACACTAAAGGAACCTCACTAGACTATAGAGTTGTCTCAACCTGAATAGTAGGCAACATGCAAAACGCACATATAGTGGGCATGAGTACCTAGACCTACCATGGTATACAACTACACTATATCTAGCTACACATCCCTGGCAATATATGCACCCTAACCACTGATCCTGAGACTCAAGCTCATATCGTGGCGTATAATTCTATATGTAAAATCCGTCCTATCCAACCATCAAAATAACCTATCCAATTATTATTTCAATAATATGTCATCCAACTATTCCGTTGACCTGACACGAATAAGTAGGATTTAACACTGTGGTTAATCCGTTCCCTTATTTAAAATAGGTAAAACTTAACTCTTAAGTTAATCCGTCCCTAATATGCCCACATCCCATAATGGTGCATTAATCCATATCATAATCAAATAAAAGTTTCAAATCCAAAGATAATGTCAATAATGTTTACATATAACAATCCAAATAAATATGATATAAATCATATACACATCCTTTGCATTTACTTGAGTAAAAATATAAATTCCAAATAGCATGCATTTAATTTACATCACAAGAAATTAACATGCATCTCAACTAAATTGTACATCTCCATGTTCTGATTAAATTAATTTAAATCTAACAATTGATTAAAATAATTAATTCCAAGAATATTTAATTGATTAAAATAATTTAATCCAAAAATATTTAATTAATTTATCTCTTTTATAATTAATTAAATTCCATACTTAGCATGTAAACTTAAATCATGCATTCTAATTCTTAATTAATTTATTAAATAAATATTTAATACTAATCCATCAATCAAAAATAATAATATCAGTTTAATATCACATTATTAATTAGTCTAACTTTTAAAATATTTAGCGCATAACTAACATTTTTTTACATACCAAATTCCTTTCTAATAATTTGAAACAATAACAAATTACAATAAGTTGACTTTTCATTATGGCTTACGTAGGAATTGAATTTCAATTGTAAACTCAATGTAACAAACGAAAGATTCCTAAAGCTATTCTTCCTCGTTCGGCGTGCATGGAAAAAAAAACAAAATCTCATTATCATTTAAATCACATTCTGAATTTTCTTTATTAAATTAATTATCAATAGTTTCCTCATTTGGCGCACACAGATTTATAAAGAATGCCTTATGACTTTACCCGCATATGCACAAACTGATTGATTCATGCTAACATAAATAACATAAATTAAGTTAAAATCAAGGCCACCAACAGCGTAGGCAGAAGAAAACAAATAATTAAAATCCATTATTGAAATATGAACTGAAATTCCTAAATCAATTCATATAATTAGATTCCAATTAATTTATTTTAAAAACCTAGAATTAATCTAGCATGCATAGAGTATGAATCAAAGGAGAAGAGAAGAATTAGAACTTGCTTTTAGGGATTTGATAAAAACCCTAACCTCCTCTTCCTTCCTCTTCCTTCTTTTTTCTCTTCCTTCCTCTTCCTTCTTTCTCTCTCTAAAATATAGTACGTGATATATTTTCTAATCTATTTCACAACTCTATAGTTATATATATTTATAGGCAACTAAAATAACCCTAATCCTTTTTTTCCATTCCAAAACAAATTAGAATAAAATAAAAATAAAATAAAATTTAAATACTAAAAAGGTAACTTAAATATATGTTACATATAACTTATGTGTACTCCTTTTTATATATAATATATAAATATATATCAGATTATTATTTAAGGACTTTCCTTATATATATATTTATTTATTTATTAAATATACATATACATGGGTAATTATCCGTACCCATTAAACCCCTTATCCAAGTAGTCCATGGAGCCGAATTGATTAGTCAATTACTACTATCCATATCTAATTCCTTAAAAATATAAAAATAAAATAAAAATAAAAATAAAATAATTAAATTCCTAAATAAATACACATCATCACATTCAATTCAATTTAAATAAATAATTAAATCAATTAAATAAGCAAACAATTAGCCAAGAAAACAACTAAATAATTAAATATAATTAAAACTATTAAAATAATACCGAGACTATCCTTTTTAAATTAGGGGTATTACAAAGGGTGAAGAAGAACAACCACGTCTCCAATGAGGCGACAATATTAATATTGTATAATTTGTATTGGGTTTGAGAACTTCACAGAGATAAAGTGTGATGATCATTTTCTTGATTATACTGGTTCTTTGTTTTCTGTACCTTTTTTTTAACAAATATGTGTGTGTGCACTGTGTGGGTGAATTTGAAATAATGTATAATGTGTTTTGGGTTTGTGAATTTCACAGAAATAAGGTGTGACGATCATTTTAATTCTTGATTAAACTGGTTCATTTTAATTCTTGATTGAACTTCACAGATATGTGTGTGCACTGTGTGGGTCAATTTTAAAGGTATGCCAAGACCATAAATTTTCTTACTAATGACATTGTGTGTAATGACATTGTGAAGATTATTGTATAATCTGAAATTATATTTGTATATAACTAAAAGATTTGTTTGTGTCGAATTTTGATAATGCAAGTCCGGACATGTATAAATTTCTCTTACCCTTAAGAAAACCTTAAAAACCGAAATTATTGGCTGGCCTTTGATTCCGCAAAGAATGACAAGTACTTTCTCAGTTTATGTTTATATATTTTTATTGGCTAGAAAGGACATCCATGTGGAAAGTTAAGTGATTGGTGTGGGTGTCCGGGAAATTAAAAATTACATGTCAGCCTTGGTTAACCATTTCTTTCGAACAGGTCAGCATTGGCCAACTTTTTCCTTAAAAAAAAATCAGCTCTTTTTTTTTCCGAAAAGAATCAAAAACTTCTTTCAGTATTGTTGAGTGAGTGAGTGAGTGAGTGAGTGAGTGAGTGAGGGAGAGCAAAAATAGGGAAAATACTTTTAGTTTCAAATCCAGATTTTTTTTTTCCATCCCTAGAGAGAGAAAAAAAGCTAGAATGTGAGAAAAAACTTAGAGAAGGTTGACCTCTGCCCAAAGAAAGCGTTGACTATGAATGATATGTATTTTTAAATAACGCGTCGCATGATCACATTTGAGGTTGTGGACCCGCTTTCTTAGTTAGTTCATCAATTGCCAGGAATTCCTCTGAGGTCTTCTAGGCTTTTCGATTTTAAAGTTTGGAATGGTGCCTCAACTGGCGCCTTTACTGTGAAATCGGCCTCCAAATTAATTGAAAGCTTAAATCCTCCTCCTATCCTTTTAGTGAATAAATCGGAGAGCAGTCACATTCAAGAATTTAAGTCACTTTGGAAGGATTTTTGGTCCATTCAAACATGGAGGAAGATCAAATTCTTTCTTTGGCAATGTGCTCATGATAGACTTCCAACAAGACTGAATTTGAGAAAAGGGGGGATTTTTTACGGTTCTATATGTAAAGTATGTGATGGGGACGTGGAATCTATTTTACATCTCATTTTTCTATGCCCATCTTCCCAAATAGTCCGGAAGCTTAGCCCTCTCAGATTGAATTTTTCCAATTTAAATTTTAAATCATAGAATCATCTTTGGTCTTCCTTGTCTGTAAGTTGGAAGGCTCTTCCTCATTCAGGCAAGCATTTCAATCTAGCAGCTTTTATTTGTTGGCAAATTTGGAAGAGTATGAATGATTTGATTTTTAGTTCTGTTAAGTGGGATCCGGCTCACATTCTTGAACGGGCTCTCCATAATTTTTTTGAATTTTTTCACTTTCTTCACCTTGATGGGCATCTCCAACCAATAATGGTTTCTAATTCTAGAACTCAAAGTTGGTGTGCTCCCCCTACTGGAATGTTTAAACTTAATTTTGATGCAGCCTTTTGTAGCAACTCTAAAGAGGTTGGGGGTGGTCTCATTCTCAGAGATGATAGAGGTCGGCCAATTCGTGTGGCATCTTTTTTCATTACAGGGGTTTCATCTCCGGAAGTAGCAGAAGCTTTGATTCTTAAAGAAAGCCTCCATTTTTTATCCTTTTGGAGATATGATTTTTGCATTGTTGAGGGTGATTGTTTAAATGTGATGCGCAATTCCCCTTCTTTTTCAGCTATGGACATGGAAGAAATCCAGCTTATCTGCTCTTTGCATCCTCGCTGGTCCTTAAGTTGGATCCCTCGTCACTGCAATGGTGTTTCTTATCAAATTAGTCAATGGGTGCTGGCCCATAAATGTGGCGACCTGCATTGGTCTATTTGGCCTTCATGGCTTCTTCAGGCCATCCAGGAATATCTTTCTTTTGTTTGCTCGGGCTCTCTTCGCCCTGTCTTGTAGTTTCCTTTTGATTTGAAAAAAAAATAAAAAAATAATGGAAGAAGTCGATTGGTCGGTGTATTGGGGGATGACTAGTTTCGTAATCTTTCATCTTTCAGCTCTTCAACGATATTTAATTGTTTTGGCAGGCAAATAAAAAACAATAACAATTACACATGCATTACCAAAACACTGAAAATCAATTGTTAAATGAGGATTAATTAAAAATATAATAATGTGTTATTTTAATTATTTTGTAATTAGACATGCATGAAGGTAAGATATTATATAAAATTATCTATTAAGTTTTTTTATAGAATAAATAATTAAATGAATAAATCAAGTGGCTCTTAAAAAATTTATTAATATATTAAAAGGAAAATAACTGTTGGTCATCCTAGACCATTTAAAATGGGCTACTTCAATGTGAAGCCATGCCAGCGGGTGAGGGTCAAAGCAAAGTAAAATGACAACCCTGAGGAATAATTTTAATCCTCACTATTGCGCCAATTGCTTCAAAGCTAATCCTTTTCCACGCTAAAAGCCAATATTTTACATTTTTTTTCATATCTATCAAACATAAACTTCAGTTAATAACAACTCCGGTGACAAAAATCCCAGGTCCAAACAAAATTTCCGCCTACTTAAAGAAAGAAACACAGACAGTCAATAATTAATCATTTGAAAAATAAAATTAACCTCTTAACATTAATATCAGAACCAAACATAATAATCAAACCAATATATATTCTTGTTGTTATAGATGATTACACATAATACTTATTAATTAAACAAGCCAAAATTTAAATTGAAAATAAGAAAAATCATCAATTTACCCTATGGGACTGGTTGAAACCATCCATTATATGAATACCTCATCTGTCTCTTAGATAGATTTAATGATTCAATCTTCCCGTTTTTCAAATTATACACCCCAAAATCTTCATACCAGGGGTCAATAAGTCCTTTAACATCATCAATGAAATAGATTGAGTTGTGTTTGTATTCAGAGTTTTGTCCAACACGAACAAACATTGAATTGTTCTTAGCCAAGAATAGGGTGTGATCACCGAAATTACTCACTTTTTCCCATTCACAATTGCTCCAATTTACCTTAAAAATCTCAAAAGACTTGGTTCTCATTCTCGGTTGATTGCTATCCAAATCTCGATAATGGTCTAAAGTCTTCACCACCATTAACAATTCACCTGACCATGACTCCACCAAGTACTTGAAATCACAATTAGAATTACATCTGACTTTAATTCTATCGAATATTACTACTTCTTCCGTGTAGTTGGAATAACTATCCAATACTACTTCTTCCGTGTAGTTGAAATAATTATCATCGAACAAACAACGTCGAAGGACACCATTCCCATCAACTGAGTAGAAATTACCCTTGTAAAATATCATAGAAGCAATTAAGAAGTTTGTTTTGAAAGCCTGCGTCCATTTCCCGTCACTGAGTCTATAAACAGCAATCTCACATGAGGTATACAAGAAGACCTTGCAAGTGGGATCGGTAAGGATGGATGATGTGATCAAGTTAATATCCCATGGACAGGGGGACATGTTCCATAGAAATAGCGGTGGTTTCCAAAATGGCGGTGGTGGAAGCTCGACAACCATTCTTGAAAGGGGATTGAAGAAATAGAGTGACTCTTTGAAAAAGAGATAAAACAGTAGCCATCCATGACAGGTCCCAATAAACCTGGGAGCACCAACCTTGGTGTGGCGGTGGTTAGACGCGTTGTAAACCGGAGGGTCGGGCAACATATTCATATTTTGCTTCTTCATGGAGTCGTACAAACAACGGCCGTGCAACAGATTCATCTCTTGCTTCTTTATGAAGTCGGCGGGAGTACACTCGTAAAAGGAACTGTCCAGATGGCAGGACTTAATGATGTTTGGTGGAGGGTACCTATACTCCTTGGTGGTGGTGGTGTTTTCACCTAGACACAAGAGTCTGCTATCATGGCTATCATCTGTGTATGTGTCACCCTTATGGTAAAGGAGTAGTAATGGAATAATATTTTTACCATGGGATTGGGATAGTACCTAGCTTCACTGCAGCAGAACGCCATGAATGACATACACCACGACATCGCAGAAGATCCAAGCTTGGGTTCACACGTGCCATGATCAACTCCACCAGTTCTTCTGGTAGGTCGGACCAACAATAATCTTGTTTAATATTTTTCTTAGCCATATGTGTCCTCATCGATCCTACCTCAAGATTTCAGAGAAACGAATTAACCCTGGCCCTAACAGAAGATTTGACAGAAACGAAGTAACCCTAACCCTAACCCTAACCCTAACAGAAGATTTGAGATGAAGGAAGTAACCCTCCCTAGTTATTTATATAGACAGAGCAATACGAGGAAATCCTACTTTTATTTGTTTCCTAATCCCGAATGAATTCCACTTTCTAGGTATTCTATTTTAGTCCAACTTCTTCTTCTCTTATTTATTTATTTATTTATTTATTTCCTATATATTTATTATCAAAAGTATTATATATAATTTGTTTTCTAAAATAGGAAACAAATTATATCTCTTTCTCTTTAGTTCTTTTTCTTGCTTAAAAGAAAAAAAAATTAATATGGAAAGCTATCCCATTTGGTTTGTTTCAACAATATTATGAGCATAAAGAAAAATAAATTAATACCTTTTCTTTTTTAGAAAAACTATTCATTAGTTTGGCAACTGAAGAATAGATTAGAAAAATCATCAATTGACACGTAAATGAACGTGTAAAATTTATTCAGCCTTATTTCACTTTTTATTTACATGTCAATCAATGGTTGCCTGAAATCAATAGTCTCAAATTCATATACATGACAATCCCGATCATTAACACATAACTTTGTTAATTAATAACTTTTTAATTTGTTCTTGTAAGTATGATTATGTTTCAGTATTTGTTGTCTTCTTAGTTTAATTAATATCTTTTTAATTTTTCCTTGTTATACCTTGTTATACTAAAACGTGAGAGTTGAACTATTAATCTTCACAATTTATAGGTAAAATCTCTTCCAAAAACTAAAGCACTATATAATAAATATTGTGTAAGGAAAAAAAAAATGTAACAAACATTAGTGCGGAACAACATTTGAATAGAAAAAAAAGGAATTTACAAACTGGTCTAGAAAAAGGGCCAGCCAAACAGGCTTTAAGAAGGACCAATGGCCCAATCTAAAAAAAACCAATCAACTCTTCCATGTAGCCGCTCAAAATATCAGCATGGAGCATTCTTAAGGGGCACAAAAAATTGGTTGCACTGATAAATAAAATCGAACTAAATCGAATTGGTAGATTTGGTTTGATTTTATTTTTGTATGGTTTGATTCGGTTACAGTTTTGAAAACGTGGAATCGTTTATAAACGGTTGGTTACAATTTGAAATTTTACGAGACTAATCCAAATCGAATCGAACCGTTTTATAAATTAATAAGATTTGTCTTTTACTTTTAAGCACTCAAATATATTACATATTATATAATAAACAATTATATTATAACATAAAATTAGAATATATATTTGAAATTTTATATTAGGGTAAAGTGTAGAAAATCCCTTTCTATTATCAGTCCCTGTATGGTAAAAAAACCCTTATACTATCAATTTAGTGCGAATAGGTCCCTGGTGGTATAAAATGACTATAAAACCCTCACTTCAGTTGAATAAATTAATAAATATAAATATAGGTCATGTAAAATGATATTTTTATCCTAAACATCACCTAAACCTAATTTCCCTCAACCCAAACACAGCCTTATGCCCATATGTCACTGTTCATCTTCTTCCCTCAGTCTCCACTTCTATCACTCGCCACCACCCATCACCGCCACACCGTTGGAAGAAGTGGAAACTGCAGCTAGGAGTGCAAATCACTCCTAAGAAGATAATATGCACATGCACATACTAGTCTCAACAATCCACATTTGTGAACATGTCCAGTTGAGTATTTGATTTCCAACAAGATGGTCTTTTATTTCATAAAATGGTTTAATCCATCCATCTTCAGAATGTTTATAGTATTATTTCCCACCAAATCATACCTTGTGGAGAAGATAATTAATGTTGTTAATTCGTATGGTGAGATCGCTAGGAATTTCTGAAATCACCGTCCTGCATTGTTAAAAATAAAAAATACCATTACACGAACACACTTTTTTGGCAGTTGTGTATATATATATATTTCCCATAAAAATTCATAGTACCTGGTAGCCTCTTCTGTATAGAAGGTGTCTGGCCTCGTCCCGAGTTTCATAAACTTCATCTTTGTGATTATTGATATCCTTTAACAAAAATGTCAATCCCACTTCATACGACTCAGACATGCCCTTCCCAAATACTTTCAAAAGTACTCCAGTATCTACGTTGGCATCATTTCACCATTACGATAAAAAAAAAAATTAAAAAAATAAATAAAAAGAAGATGAATGTCTAAAGTAAATTGCATTCACAATAAAACAGAGCCCTACAGATGCCATCTAACCATATCATTGGAAAAATGTAAGTTTTTAACCCAGCAATTGTGAGAAATTGTTGCAGAACCACCATGAGAGAGGGTGATTGGTTAGAGAGAGAAAACGTGCGCTTAAGAGATAACGGCAGTGAAGACAAAAAGGACGGCAAGGAGTTGCTTGACGAAGATGAAGGATTTACCGACGACGAAGGATAGCGGGTAAGCTCGGTTTGAATGGACTGAACAAAACGGCGGCCGTGGAGGATCGCGATTCGGGCGAGCACGGATGATTGCACCGGCAGGCTTAAGGCAATGAGGAATCGGCGATGCAAGGATCGGCGGTGATAGTGCAGCGAAGAGTTTGTATGTATCTTTTCGGCAGAGAGGTTGACTGGGGCAACTAGAATTTATGGCGACGGCTAAATACGCTCTCGGAATCGATTAAAAATAGACCTGATCAATTAGTCACAGATTGGCAACCAAGAAGCAATTCCAGATTGTGATTTTGAAATGTCATGACTGCTTTTGATGATGGATTCTGTGCAACCCGGATCTGATCTGAATTCCTGAACAGAGAGAAGAAAATGTGATCTTATAAGCACCGGTGTGTTTCCGGTGGAGTAGGCTCCGACGAACGAGTTTTCTTAAGAGAAATCAAGAACTTGAGTTAGGGTTTTTTTGCGTACCTCAAAACGTTGATTAGCCCACCTTCTTTATAGGGCTTAGGTCAAGATATCACGTAGAGTTACCTTATCATAATTTGTAAACTTAATCCTTATCGTAATCTTTAATCCTTATCGTAATCTGTAGAGTCTATCTCAATCTTATGAGATAGTGCGTTAATTTATCAATCTTCCCTTAATCATGGATATTTAAATTATACATCCATTAGTTGCCCCCCGTTTCGAAGGATTGCTTGTCAAACCACAGGAACGTTAATTCCAAAATATTACATAATAATATATAGTATTGTAGAGCCTTGTTCATTAGCTTGACTTATATTGCCACTTTGCGAATACAGTCGGGGGTCATAGTGCATCATTGACAGCTCATATATGTGGCAAGCTCATATATTTGTCGTATATTGGCAAGCTCGTATATTTGTCGTACTGCCACATTAGCAGTTCGTATATGTGGCAAGCTGCCATGCTAGCAGCCTACCGTTATTTGGCAAGCTACCATGCTAGCAGCCTAACATCATTTGGCAAGTTGCCATGCTAGCAGCCTACAGTCATTTGGCAAGCTGCCATGCTGGTAGCCTACCGTTATTTGGCGGCAGCCTTGTCGTCCACCTCTTCTACTGATAACATTTAACATTTCAGTGTTAAAACGACTTATGTAATCACGAAGAGGCTTTCCATTCTACTGCTCCACATTCAATAAGTGTGTTGCTGGTCTCTTATACCTCTGCCCAGCGATGAAGTGTCCTATGAATTATTTGCTCAACTCATTAAAGTTTTCAATGGAGCCTGGCTTTAATTTATTGAACCAGAGACGAGCCCAACCCTTTAGTGTGGTATGGAAAGCCCTGCACATAATCTCGTCCGGTACGGCTTGCAAATACATAAGAGCTTTGTAGGTCTCCAAATGATCGAGAGTGTCTCGTGTCCCATCGAAGCTCTCAAGAGTTGGCATCTTGAATTTTCTAGGTAGAAGACAACTCATAATAACTAGGCTAAATGCTATGTTGGTCTTCTGTACCAGATCGTTCATTGCGGTCTGGCCCTTTCCTTTCATCACTTGCATAACGTCTTTGACCCTAACTCTCAGATCTTGCATCTGTAGATCGAAATGAGTGACGTTCTTATCGCCAACATAACCAGAGGTATCCCCACTGAGCCTGGCGGTATTCCGTTCAGGAGACCGATGGTGATGGCTTCTCTATTGACCCCTTATTTGACTAGGCTCAACGTCGTTGTCAGTCCTACGGGAGTCATTGTTGGGTACTTCACTGTTCTCCACCTCGTTGGGGGCGGCTAAGCGTTGCAAAATCATCACATTTTGCTGGACTAATTGGTTCATTCCCTTATTTAAGGTTTAAACTTATTGTTCCAACGCTACGACGCGTTCCTGATCATTTAGGATGACAGGTGGTTGCCTCGTCGAGTCCCCTTGATTAGAAGTCTGTAATGTTTCGTCCTCGCCAGCAGCCAGACCAGATCGCAATCGAACCATGCTTTGTTTAGAGAACTAAAATTGTTCCCACAGACGGCGCCAATTGTTGATGATGGATTCTGCGCAACTCGGATCTGATCTGACTTCCTGAATAGAGAGAAGAAAAGGTGATCCTACAAGCACCGGTGTCTTACCGGTGGAGTAGGCTCCGATGAACAAGTCAGTGTGCGAACTAATCTCTTAAGAGAAATCAAGAACTTGAGTTAGGGTTTTTTGCGTACCTCAAAACTTTGACCCGCCTTCTTTATAAGGTTTAGGTCAAGATGTCACGTAGAGTTACCTTATCATAATCTGTAGACTTAATCTTTATCATAATCTTTAATCCTTATCATAATCTTTAATCCTTATTGTAATCTGTAGAGCCTATTTTAATCTTATGAGATAGTGCATTAATTTGGCAATCTTCCCTTAATTATGGATATTTAAATTATACATCCATCAACTACATTGGGTTAAAAGTATGACACTTGTATAAACAAATTAGGAAAAACAGTTGCCCAAGATAAAGGAAGAAGCAAAAAAAAAAAAAAAATCAAATGAGATGATCTCTCTCTCTCCTCTGGCCAAACCACCATCTTCTCTGGCGAGCCACCACCACCATCATTGCAGGCATAATGGTCCATAAATATCTCTTACCCAAATAGACTAATTGTTATAGTGAATTTTCATAATAAAACCTCATCAAACCATACAAGAAGATGAAAAATTATGTATCATGAATTGGAACAAAATTGAGAATTTGGGCCGGAGCCTTCCTAGCGTTCAAAACAATTATTTTACTCTCTCTCTCTCTCTCTCTCTTTTCATATTCTCTCCCCTTTTCTGCAGCCGCAATGAATATAGTTTTTCATGGCCGATTGTGGCATCGCTGGTGTAGGTGTGGGGATACTGTGGGATGGTGGTGATGGTGCCGCCGTTGTGGAACTTGTTAGGTAATTGAGTCTACTCAACAAATTTGGGTTTGTGATGTGGTTTTGATGACACACTGAGTCAACTCAACAAAAGGGTAGAATAGGAAGATAAAAGGGTAAATTAGGGTTTTAAATTTATTTTATGTCAATTTTGACCAAAAAGTGGTCAGAGGGAATAGTTTTGCACCTTTTTTGAATTTTGTGGACTTGTATGCACATTTTCAAAAAGTAAAGACTAGTTTTGCACAAAGTCTATATATCAAAGGGGGTTTTCTACACTTTACCCAAAACATAATTGTGAGTAGTGACAAATAGTAGAATTATTAGAAATAATATATATATATATATATATACTAGTGGTGGATTTGACTGTTTATCCATTCCATTGTCAAACATAAAAACTCTGTGCTTTGGCGGCCTGTACCTAACTAGAGTAGGTGCATGTGGTCTAATAGAGTTTGGTTCAAATGTTACGGTCATTTGCTACGACTGGTCCAAATTTCAAGATAATTATTTTAGAAAGCGAATCCAACATTGCCTTAAGGGACCAATTCATATAATTGGTAAGGATAACAATTCGTGTTCGTTGGTCATAATTATATTGATGTAAGAGTATTATACTACATAGGTAAATCTAAAACTAATTATTTAATAATTATGTCAAGAACCCTTAACACTAACTTAACCCATTTATTAAACGGTATAACACGAGACATTTAATATTTAATCAAATAATAAATATTTTTTTTTCACAATTAACTTAAATATTCAAAATAAGAAGAAAAATCATAAAACATAGACAAGTTTATATTGATATGACTTAACTATCCATAACATATTACATATGTCATATTTACGATTATAATATGTTGAATTAAACGGGCCATAAATGAGTTACAAGTGTTAGACCATCAACCCTAACTCGATACGATTAAATAAACGAGTTAATCGTATCATTCCGTTTATGACCCGAACTCAAACCCGTTTATCTCGTGTACCACTCGTAATACCAACACATTAAAGGCAAATGATTGTGTTTTAATGGTAAATTGGTGATGGAAATATGATTAGATGTGTAAAGAAACACATGGGCCTAATTGTACACATGACAACATGTTAGCTAAACCCGGAAAAAAGAGCCGTTACGAAGACAAATTATGACCCTGTCAACGGTAAAAGCGCACACAGTTTCTAGATATATTTCCTCTTAGCTTCTAAATCGAACAAGACATGTTCAAGTGTGTTTACCATTTCTCTTCCGGGTTCATTCCCAAAAACAAGTTATGGATTTCCACTCATTTTCTACCCATTATTGGTTGTTCATCTACTCTCTCTTTCTCTTTCTCACACACACATAATCTCCCTCTCTCTATATATATTTATACAAATTATATATGATGTAATTTAGTTGCTCGATCATCTATTGGGTAGGTCCCGTTTCGATCACCCAACACCCACATTTTTCATGTCCTCCACACAATTTTTAGATGTTGAATCGATCTTAACTTAATATGGGTGCCTAAAACCTTCTCATGCAAAATCGAACTCCAGAATTTGATTTGGTGGTGCACATTTCCACCTCTTATGTGTCAAAAAATAAAAAATAAATAAATAAAAACTATTTAGGAACGTAATATAGTTTCAGCATTTTTTTTATCTATTTAAAAAAAAAAAAAATTAAATAAAAGATTGTATTTTACTTATATTTTATAATATAAAAAGTGGAGTTCAAGTGTAATTTATGGGACAATTTTTAGTGTTTTTAACTGAAAATCGTGTCAAACCACTTTTAATAAAAGCAAGTGGAATGCGAGTACATGTATATATGGATTATGAATACTTCATTATTAAGTATTACTTCTTTTTTTTTTTTTTTTTTGACAATACAAACAAAAATTCTTTGAACTCACTTCACAAAAAATACACTGCATATAAGTTAAAAATGTGTTCTCCACTTTTATAAAAAATAAAAAAATAATAATAATAAAGAATTCTTATGTCTATTCTAGGACATGTATATATGAGACTAGGCCAAAGAAATAAAACACCCCCCATATTTAAATTGATTTGTTATTAATTTAGTTTTATTTATTTATTTATATATCCATTTTGTTTCTTTTGAGACTCAAATCTTTCACATCTACTTTAAATAAAAAATTTATCTTATTTATGTGATGATAAATGATTCTGAAACTCAAAAGTAATACCGAAAAAGAATACGCTCCAACAATATATGTGTTCCCTTTAACTTTCCAAAAAAAAAAAAAAAAAAAGGTACAACATTAATTGTGTGTATGAGCACTTTTGGGAAAATGATCCGAAAGTTATTGGAATGATAGTCAATTCAGAAAATTAATATTTCCATTCGAAATTGTTTTGTGCCAGATTAATTGAACACAGACACTTACCTAAACTATTAATTGTATATTACCTACCCTATGGTTTCATCAGCTGCCTTAATTTAATCAGGTAACTTTCGAAAATAGTAGGGATGTTGTTAATCAATTAATTGTCGGAGAGCAAGAATCATTCTTTTTCACTTTATTTTTATCTTGTTGAACAACGCATAACGATCGTGCCAGTGCGACTGAGTGCTCACCATTATATCCACCAAATCCACTAATAGACCGATGGTACGAGGAGAGTGCCTTCCATGAGTTCTAACCTACTTTATATATATATTTATATATTTTTTCTATGGCTGGGCTTCGATTCTCTAAATTATCCAATGAAAATTTTCAAGAGATTTAAGTGTGCAATCCCTTCACTATTGGCTATTTTTGCTCAACAAAATATTGTAAATTGGAGCACTAATAATGGGAATGAATGAATCATTTGAAGTAAAAAATTTGGGGAAAAAAATTTGCCACTTGACTTGACATGACATTATGCATATATTTTTATTTTTTCGAAAAGTCAAGCTAATTGTATAGGCATAGAACCATAGAAAGGGATGGGCCAGGCCCAAAAAAGAAAAAGAACAAAAGCCCAAACTGCTCAAGAAGAACAACACAGCACTACAACAAAGCCCAAAAGCGAGAGATGCCCAAGAGCCCAATACAAGATGAATAATAAAGGTCACATCTAACTGTTACTTCTTGAAATGGACTACGTCTGGCCATCTTTGGATTGGTTTTGAGCACAATCAGCTTTAGGCATGGGCGGAGGCAGCATGTGCCCAGGGGGCTGCCCCCCTGCCCATGCTGCCCCATTATAATTTTTTATTTTTTTATACATAAATTTATAAAAATTGACATAATGCTCCCCTTAAAATTATCAAAATAATCCTTCTATCCCTGAATCCACTAAAATTTATTTTATTTTATGCGTATAATTTGTAAATATTTATAAAAATACCCTCATAATATTTATAAATTATCTCCATAAAATTATCTATTTTTAAAAATGTCTTTAATTTTCTATTCCTTTTCCTTCTTATACTTCAAATTTCTTTTTGCCATCTTAAAAAAACTTTTGCATTCTCTTTCTACAATTAAAACTTATTTTTTCCTTCAAAATTCTCTCATATATTTTTTTTTTAATTTCATTTTCTTCTTAAAAATTTCTTTTTTCTTGTACTCAAGCATAATTTATGTGCAATAACATTCTTTTTCTTTTTTCTATTCTTATTCATTTTTTATTCATGATTCTAATGCACTGTTGTTACACTTATATTTTCGACCTACTTGAAAAAAAATTATTTTATCAATGTTAACATGTCCCCCTGAACCAAATTTCTGGCTCCGCTCCCCTGAACCAAATTCTTGGCTCCGCCCCTGACTTTAGGCTTTATCAAATTCATTCAAAATTTTCTGAATTTTCTTATGTTACAATATTTTTCTTGAAATTTCATCAATTCCCATTCTCTTTTAAAATTCCATTCGAGTTAGGAGAATCTTTAATAAGGCAAACTCAAAATTAGGCATATTTTGAGTAGAACTTTGATTTAAAAGCTCTTCAACTAGACCAATTAAACACAGAGTTTAAAACCTTAGTCAAATGACTTTACCTCACAGCTAGTATTGTAAGTCACGGTTCAGATATCATTTTTTTAATTATTATGTAGGTTTATGGTTTATTTAATTCCCAATTTAATTAATACAATAAGAAAATCAGTTCGTAGAAGATGAAAGTTTGAGAAATGTTCTCCAAATTTTTAGATCACGAGTATGATATTAACATTTTTTGTACAAAATATTATCAAATATTGATTTGTACAAGTAGTGATACAAATTGATTGATAATTTCAATTGAATTTGGAGTTTGGTGCGGGCACTGCACTGTTGGGGGACTTATTAGAAAAATAAGATAACAATCTCATAAAAATCAATGGAGAAAAGTAACGACGTCGTATAGGAGCGTTTTATCTATTGTTCTGACAAACCGCTTCATACACAGTTCACACACAGAAGCTCAAGAAAAATGGCTTCTTGTGTTCCTTCTTCTCATCATCTCCTCTCCTCTAATCCTACAATCAGTACAGTGCTTTTCAACAATCATCGTTTCTCTCAGATTTCCACCGCCAAGGCCTGTTCCTCCCGGTTCAGGTGCTCGGCGTCCGGTCAGACCGGGTTCTTCACTCGTCTCGGCCGGTTAATCAAGGAAAAGGCTAAGAGCGACGTCGAGAAGGTCTTCTCCGGTTTCTCAAAAACCCGGGACAACCTCGCCGTCATCGACGAGCTCCTCCTCTACTGGAACCTCAACGATACCGACCGCGTCCTCGACGAATTAGAAGAGGTAGGTCTGTTTGTTTCCCGAGAAAAAAAATAACACTACTGGCGTAAATTTCCGTCTCCACTTGGAAATTATGCCTCCATGTGTTGCTGAAAATATTAAAAATAAATAAATTTTAAGCTTCTTTTTCTCAGTAAAATGTTATTTGGCTTGTGGTTGATGAGATATACACACACACACATGCACACACACATATATAAATGTGTGTATGTGATTCTAACCAACAAAAGCGTCAAAAATTGAAGCTCAGACCGTAGAAACAAGTGGAATGTGAAATTTAAGTTTTTGTGAATTTGTGTGTATATATAATAATGTATATTCTCAGAAACATGAGTGTCAAATTGAAGGAGATACTGTAGAAACTAGTGGAGTATGAAATTTAAGTTTTTGTGAATTGGTAATGTTTTGTTCGATATTGAAGGCGAGAGTGATGATTAGTATCTGAGAATTTGGGGGTTTCTTTGTTTCAGGCTTTGCTGGTGTCTGATTTCGGGCCAAAGATCACTTTTAAGATTGTGGATAGGTTGCGGGAAGATATATATGCTGGGAAGCTCAAATCAGGGAGCGAGATAAAGGTAATTTATATCAACATTTTTTTTTAATGCATTTTGTACTTGCACTACATTTTCTTGCCCAACTCTTTGACTTAAGTTTAAGACATAGAAGTTGTATTAGATTCATATGAATGATTGACTTTATTGGTGTATTTGATATTCAAAACCAGTGTTCAATAGTGTTATGCTAATGTATGGTGTAACTCGGATTTTGATGGTTGCAGGATGCTTTGAAGAGCAGTGTGTTGGATTTGTTAGTTAAGATAGATAATAAAACAGAGCTTAAACTTGGATTCAGGTTTGAAATATTAAAATTCAGGTTTTGACATTGTTTCTTGTGCTAATTGTTGGATTGGCTTATAATTGGAATCTGTTGGTTCATTTTTGATATACTATTAGGAAACCAGCTGTGATATTGATTGTTGGTGTCAATGGAGGTGGGAAGACGACATCTCTTGGTAAGAAAATGAATTGGTAACAGATCCTATACAACCTAGCATTCATTTGGAAACCAAATGGTTTTCTTCTCATATAACATGTATAACTAGAAAGATATTTTATTTGCGGAGAGAGTTAGGATTGAATGAAAAAACATTATAGAGCCGAAGAGGTTGAGGAGGGTTGTCGTCTGCTAGCTGGCAGCCCTCGTTTTTATAAACAAATCCTTGTCTCCAACTTAAAACTGAAGCAAGTAGAGGTTTCTTTTTTACAAAAGTAAACTTAAACTAAATTGCACCTTAAGAATCAGAAGATAATGATGTCAATTTAATAACAATGAGCAAGAAGGTCACTGTAGGGAAAAATATTAAGGGCCTATTTATCATGATGGACATGATGAACTAATGCATTTTAATGAACTTGTAGGGAAAACCAATTTTTACACCAAATACTTTTTATTGCAGAATACTTTTTATTGTTCTTTAAAAAGTTATATTCTAGAAACATTATTTATCAAAAAAAAAAAAAAAAAGAGGGATAAATGAAGCTTTTGTTTATCTCAAATGCTTGTTTTGGTTAGGTAAATACTCTCTCTTTTACACACACAAATGCCCACTATGATGATCGAACCCCTCACCTCCTCTTTGAGGGAGGAGAGCTTTTACTCGCTGGGCTAATGGCCAAGTGCTATGTTTTATCTCAAATGTTGAAGAGTGTAGAAATGACAATACCTGGTGAACTTTTCAATTGCAGGAAAGCTGGCCCATAAGTTGAAGAAGGAAGGAGCTAAGGTGAGACGTATTATTCTGGCATTGCTTGTTTTTTTATTCTGGCATTGCTTTTGTTGCACTGCCATGAAGTTGAGCTTAATGATTTCCTAGAAATGGCAACTGAAAATTTGACTATTTTGTCCTGAGCACCTAATTGAATTTAATATATTGTTGAGTTCAAAAAACATGAATATGATATAGTTATAACTTAGTTTGACATTAGGATTGCAATATTTTGAGATTGATTATTGATTGTTTCATGTTATTGTTGGCATTAAATCATTTCATGGATAAAACTAATCAGTTACGAAGGTTTTAGGTGGTTGAAATCCATTTAGAGAATAAAATGTAAATGGTCTAAAACATTTAGTGCTTCTTATTTGCTCTTCAGATCCTTTTGTCTGAGGATTAATTATCCTGTGCAGACTCGAGGGCAAAAAATATCATTTCCGTATAAGAATGGGCTGCAAATTAGATGCTGTCTCTTCTAGGCTTCCTCTGGGTTGCAACATGAAATTCAAACTGAAACTTGACTGATCCAGCTGAACCATATGCCATTTAGTTTTTGTGTTCTTAAGATATATGTAATTATATATGTTCTAAACAAGAGGTCAAGAGCTACCTAGTAAAGTCAGTTCATTTCTAGGTTAATATTGTGGTCAATCACTCACTGAAAAACAAAAAGAAAATACTATGGTGAATAGACCCTGCCTAAGAACTGAGAACTAATAGATCAATTTGTGCTGTCACAATTTAGCAGTACAGATTTAAATCCGCGAAAATCAATAAAGGAAGTCCTTTTCTCCACTGGTCCTGGGAAATGAACTTATCATTTGACCATTTGATTTGGGACCGATACCAGTGACGAGCTATAGTTAGGTTAGGTTGGGTTGGTTTTGTCGGTTCTAAGATCATGAATATTTGTTTTTGTCTGAGTCGAGTTTAGGTATCTTCCAGGGAGGGGAAGTGAATCTTTGAAGTATCATGGTGGATGCTAACAATTGTTTCAAAAGCACAAGTGGTTCTGATATACAAACGCATTGATGTTAAGTCTTTTAAACTTATAGGTAATGTCATGTTTAAGTCTTTATGACAGTTCTCTAATCTTTGTTCATTTTTTGAAATTATGCCAGATTTTAATGGCAGCTGGCGATACATTTAGAGCAGCCGCCAGTGATCAGCTGGAGATTTGGGCTGAAAGAACAGGGTGTGAGATTGTTGTGGCTGAAAAAGAGAAGGCCAAAGCATCATCAGGTAGACATTTAAACTAGAAAGTCTGATGGATTTGCTCCAGCATCTTTTTTCTATAATCAGATTGTCCCTAGTCATAAAATGACACGGTACTACTAACACATAATCTTGAAGTTCTTTCTGAATAGTTATTTCACAGGCTGTGAAAAAAGGGAAACAACAAGGTTTTGACATCGTTTTGTGTGACACATCTGGACGTAAGCATGTAGAAATTTTATGTGTAGCTGCTTTGGCTTATGGTTCTTTAGGTGGTCATTCAGCAAGACCATGCATTTCTTTCTTCAGGTCTCCATACTAACTACAGCCTGATGGAAGAATTGATTGCATGCAAAAAAGCCGTCAGTAAAGTTGTTCCTGGAGCACCTAATGTAAGCTTAACTGTTTGGGACCTTTCTCTTTTATCTGATTATTGGCAACATGTGATATATATTTCATTATCTGTTAGTACAATGCATTTAGAGTTGAAAATGTGGTTTCCATTTCCAAGGCCATTTCACTTGGCCACCTTTCTTTTTAGAAATAGGCACCTGACCTCCTTAATTGTCACAGTAGGCTAACAGTTTTTATTTCCACCGTCTCCTTCCTCTTGATCCCCTTTTTTTAATTCCTTCCTCTACTTTCTCTCTCTAAACCCTACACCATTTACTTTCCATCATTACATAATGACTACCCACTTTCATCCACCACCACCCTCACTCTTGTTTTACCTTCTCATGAGAAATGCTTGTCTTACCACATTAGTGTATATATATAATCGTCTCAATGAATAAATTAATATTAAAAAGTTCAATAAAAGCGGAATTTCCTTTTTTTTTTTTTTTTTTTCTCCTTCCTATCATAACTCCATTTCCTACCATTGTCTCCACCTACCGCAACCATAAATACCATGGCTGCCACATCTTGTTTGCTAATTTAGCAACACATTCCACCATTTTAACCCACCAATTTTCTCTCTTTCTGGTCTCCTCTCTCAAAACTCTCCGGATTTCAATCCAATTTGTCTTTGTGGTTATTGATATTAAATTTAACTTGGATTGTAGGCAATTTAGCTAGTCTAATGAGTAATGATTGCCAGTATAGCCATTAGCCGCCCTAACCATGGTGGAATCAAGTGCATGAATCAATTCCTCTTGAAACATTCACATATAACTCGGAGTTAACCTGGTGATTCACAAAAAAACAGTTCAACCACAATCTCACCATAAGGGAAGGTTTGGGTGCACTATCAAACTCATTGTTGAAGGGAAGGCTTGTTGCTGATGGTGGGTTGCAAATTCGTTAATCTTTTCAAATTAGAAATACATCGCTCTAATAAAGAAGTCTTAAAGGGTGAAGATAATGAGGTATTTGCATTCATCTGTAACTCCGTTAGGTCAATAGGTAATCACAGGAGTAGTCAATGCCCTTTTAGAACCTATGATGGCAAGTGGAATGAGTGTCCAGACCTCAGCGGAGGTCAGTGGAGTTTACCATATTGTAATTTATGTTGAAAACTCAGTCATACTATTGATGACTGAAGTAGTATTTTCCTTTTGGGAGATAAAGTGTGAACAAGTGGCTGATAAATCTTATGCCATTGTTTGTCTCAGTGGGTTAGCAGCTGTAAGCTGCATGGAAGATATAATCCACAAGATATTGATGCAAATTAGATATCAACTTTTAACTATGTGTATATTTAAGAGTTTCAACACTAAGTGAATGAGTTTTGTATAATGTTAAATGATAAAAAGCTGGAGTTTCATATATTTTTACATGATACTTATCAAAAAAAAAATATATTGTTACATGATAAAAGGTGAATTTTAAAAACTATGGTTTCTGATAATTGATCATGGACAGTCTTCTGAAAAGCCGAATATGGAGATCTCACATCTTGGGTAGAATCACATTATTCATTCTCATTGGTGAATATTATTGATGTCACTCAATGAGGAAATAATCAATCTTTGAACATTTGTAACTCAAATAATTTTCAATTATTTACTTATTACTGAGAATACCTGACGACATCTTTCCTAGAGTTTGCACCTTGGTGTAAATAACTTTCTCCTACAGTAAATTGTGAATGTATTTCAGGTTCTGAAGTTGTACTTGATAATTAGTTTTTATCTCCCCCAACCTTCTTTCAAATCCCTGGACCCACATTTTGGTTGCCTTACAAGTGACAATTAGCTTTTTGTATTGACAGGCCATTGTAATTATAATTTTTGTTTCAAGTTTCAACCTTTCACTTCAGTGAGTGTTATTCCATTCCTTTGTATATCTTCTATGGTCTGCTGTTCATGTTACAAGATGGATTACATAGGTTTTGGCTGTCATATTTGTATTATGTGATAAGAAATTTCTGACATTGCCGAATTTGTTACTGAATTTCTAAATGTTCCTTTGTGATAAGACATCCAGATTTATCTGCAATTATCTTACAATGCTTACAGGAGATCTTGCTAGTTCTGGATGGAACAACTGGTTTGAATATGCTTCCACAAGCACGGGAGTTCAATGAAGTAATATTCCATCTTTATTGCCTATTAGATTAAGGTGGTTCTAAGGTTTTTTTTTTTCGATTGAAGAATTCTTGCTTCTTTTTTTTCGCCCCTTTTTTATATGGTGTCTTGTGTCTGCTATCATAGACCAAATCATATGGCTACACAATTATTATTCAATCTCCACTGGCCAAGGCCATGCCACCCCACAAAGATGGCCAAATGATGAAGGAAAATAGGAGTAAAGTAGTTTGATCTGGTCTCTTTCAAATTCTTAGTGAAATTTAGGATAGTGGCATCTCCATCATTGCCACTGCTTTTGCTACTTCTTTTAACCATTCTACCAGCACCAGCATGACAACTCCCTTCAGCTCATGCACTAACACCACCCAGCACCATCACCTTTTATATTCTCGAGTGCAATAACATCATGAGATTTCATTCTGCGGAGTTTCTTATTATTTTATGACAGGCAACATGAGTTCTTCTGCTATAATGTTAACTTTTCCATTTCCATTACACAATGAAGGAAGTTGTGTATCTTGTTGATGGAAACTTCAATTGCAGGTCGTTGGAATAACTGGTTTGATTTTGACAAAACTTGACGGTTCTGCTAGAGGTGGTTGCGTGGTATAGTCGCAATCTTTCCAAGCATTCTTTTAGGTTCATTCATTTTGTAGCAATGCTCAACTCCTTAATGGCCCTCAAATGTTGGGGCATGTTTTTTTCTTTTTCCTGTTTCTTGACATCGGAAGTACATGTTACTGTAATTTCTGCTTGCAGGTTAGCGTGGTTGATGAGCTTGGGATCCCTGTAAAGTTTGTGGGTGTTGGTGAAGGAGTAGAAGATCTCCAACCCTTCAGTGCAGAGGAATTTGTTAATGCCATATTTTCATGAGGCTTAAAAAGTGGTCAGTATCTACACCTCTGTTTGTCCCGTTATTCCCATGTATACACCCATATACCAGTGACCGACAAATTCTTGGTACTTGCAGATCTGCTAATCCTTTCCTGTAAAATCTCATTTTAGCCTCTTTTTTGTTTGTTTGTTTGTTTAAGATCTAAAGTTTGCTCAATCGCATGAGAGAATCTCATGATTGTTACACTGAAATTTAGTAGACCAAATTAAGCTAGAAATATGTATTCAAGGTGATCTTGCATACTATTATTCAATTTTCTTATGTCAGTAGTATTTTGAGAAGGTGCAGAGCTCGTGTTTGAAGCAACTTCAATTTTGAACTACTACTGATCCCTACTAGAATGATTTATGGCGATTTTGTTAAGTAGCTTCATTTTAACTATATACTATGCTTTGTGGGCATAAATAATGGGTATTCTATTGAAAAGGAGGCCTACTGCTCTGATAAGTAGATTCTTTTGACAGTGATGTTTACCAAGAATGTGATTTTGGAAGTTACTGAACTAATGTAACAGTAATTCTAGTACACGACTATTCCAGGGGTGTCTTCCATCATGCTGAAAATTCTTTTTTAACTGGCTTTTGTTCAACAGGTTCGTCTATACAATGCAGCAGAAGTTCATAGCAGAACAAACGCAACAAAGCAAGCCCACGCTAGTGTGTACACTCTTCTGATGTCCGAGTGAAGCAATGGGTTATACCAGAGATTAGAAACTCTGATGCTGTACGGTGAACAAATCCTGTTACAAACTGGTTGCATGACTACAGTGTGCAGGTTACCTGCTCTAGTTGAGTCTGTACCCAATTTTTTTTTATTTTCTTCCCCTTCGGATTAGCTGGTGGTAGCGATAACACTAGAGATAAACCAAAAGATGACCTCATTCCCTGTTGATCAGCTTGTTACTGCCTTCGTGTAAGAAACTTACAAGCTCATCCATTTTGAAATGAAATATATCAAGTGAAACAATAACTGATGTATTACTCGATAAATACTTATTTTAAGCATATAGTTTTTCTTTCCTTATGGTTCTCATGTTTCTCTGTGTTCTATCTCCAGTCAGTCGCTGTAATCAGTTGCTTCTACAACGAATATACAGACCTATAAGTCAATGGGCCATTAGTTCAATGGTATACCCTTCCTTATCCTTAAAGAGGAGGGGATGGTTCGAGTCCTGGTGTGTGCAAGGTGTGTAACACTTACCCGATCCATATATATATACCCTCGTCAAGGAAATCAAAATCCTTATTAGCCTTGTTTTTCCAAAGAGGTTAATATAGCTCATGATGCAATTGGTAATTCACCCCACCGGTTGAATAATAGCTTCTTTTCGCAAGGGTGGGAACATACAGAAGTTACATTTGACTGGAATTTAGTGTGAGAGTTACTGTGCAAATACTATCATATCCTTTGTCATTTGACTCGTGTGTTTATTATTGTTAGATATGTATATGAAGTCAAAAAGGAATTGTAGAATATGAAATTCATTTTCAGCAACTCAAATAACCCACAATGCATACAATACAGGAAAACAAGGGAAGAAATAGAAGAAACTAGTCTCGAATAAGAGACTCAACATAAACTCCATAATAAGCAACCTAAAGACCCCCAGAAACTGTAATACAGTAGATCCCTTTCGAAAATAAGTTAAGACGAGGAGGAAAAAAGACATGAAAAACTTGTACAACTAGAAAAATATAAGGCGAATAACACATTAGAGAGTACTCATTTCAATGACCCATTCGAATGTTTGCATTACATTATCGGGCATATCTAAGTAGAAATAAATGGTTTGACTGTGGGATATATAAAATGCCAGATTCTTATGAGCAACATATCAGAACATGCTAATGGAATGTCAAATAAAATTGAACTACATGTTACGAAGACGAGTATACAGACCAAGAAAGCCATGTTTAATATATTAAATTTAAGGGATCTTTCACAAACTTGCAACAGGTGTGCTGTAGAAGGTAGCACGAGCAGTGTATATTAACTTCTCAGATTCCTTGAGTCTGAACTCAACTGCAGTTACAGTCAAGTTTCTTCCTAGCCTTACTACAGAACCATCAACTATTAATTCTGCCTGTAAATGTAGAAAACAACCAATTCAGGAAAAGCAATCACAAAATAATACTAATTATAATAATAAAAATAATAATTCTAATGGTCAATGCCATGAATGACTACAAGGTTCAACCATAACTAGACAGTTATACGAGGCATTCAAAAACAAACTAGACAACATAAATCTGTGTCATTATGCCTCAGGTCTAGCCTTAAGTACTTTTCTACTTGGAGGTCTAAGTCAATGCCAATGACCTGAGAACCCCGTTGTAACATTGATATTATGGTCAAAGCAAATTCAGCGCACAATAGAATTGTAATAAGTAATTCAATAGTTGTCAACACTCAAGCTGTAAATGAGTAATTTCTGTTTTTGGTGAGGTGTCTGCTCCACACTAGGCTACACTCGGGCACAAAAGGGGTAGTTTTGGACACCTAAGTAAATTAAAAATTTGCCTCATAGGAGTACATATATTGGTCTTTTCTAGAGTCTTCATGTGGATATAAATTAGGGTAGAACATTGAAGATTATTATGGAACTTTAAAAAAGTGTTTCAATATCTTAGAATATTATTTTTAATTATTCTAGACAATCGATTTGAGCCATTGATTATATTTAATCGAAGACCATTTATTTGGATGATAGATGTATATAAGTAGGTAAGATGCCTCATTTGCAATCATCAATCCTCATCTTCAATTATAGAGTAAATAAACTTTTTAAGTGACACTCGGTTTCCATTTCGGTTGTAGGTGTAACCACAATTAACAGATTAACTAGTAAATTACAACAATCCTTTTAAATCCGTCAAACATCCAATTAAACAGTAAAGGACTTGCACAGCATTTTCGATTTAGAAAGAGAGTCTAGCGCGAGCAGGGGTCTATCCGTCACTGCTTTGACGGTATGGGGGATTTTAAATATCACACATCCTGTGATACCAAGAAGGAGATTCAGCGGATTGATCGGCCAGGCCCATTAGTAAATCCACACCAATTCTCTTCTCATTTTACACGAAATGATGAAACGGATTATTATTTTCCTAGAAGTGCTCATGCACAATTAATATATGGAAAAAGCTTGTCTTAGGCCATATAAGTAGGCATCTCATTCTTATGCTGATATGGACCAACAACTGCATGACATGTGTCCAAAAAAATTAAAAAAATTAAACTTGAATTATGCGGATCTTTTCACGGATCATCCAAAAGAAAAGAGGATTTTTTATTTTTTTATTTGTTTGAGATTTTCTCTCACATGCGTGTGAGTCTGGATAGACCTCTCCCTCATTCACGATTCCTTCTCTGTTCCCACCAAATCGCCATTAATAACCACCATCCCCCTAATTCTGAAGCTCTAATATCATCATCTCTTCTGCCAGCCGCCCTCCACCACCTCCACTGCTTGCTAATCTCCAACACTTGCCAAAACCCTAACGTTTTGCATTTAGACAAGATTGATTCTTGAAGCAGGTATGTTCAACTACTCCCTCCGTCCCATAAAAAGTGTCACTTTTAGAGAACCATAACTCTCACAAATTGAACTGACACGGTTCCCCATTAAGGACACTTTTTTTTGGGACGGAGATAGTATTATATTAGCACATTTGTAATTTTATTTTTCTAATAGCTTAAACCCAGTAGGGTTTGTATTGTGGAGTAACATTTTTTTTCATTATTATTTAGGTTCTTCCCCCTTAAAAAAAGTTCTTGAGAGATTAGATAAAGGACGAATTTTTGTGATTTTACCATTTTTATTTAGGTTCTTTCCCTTTAGAAAAAGGAGTTTTCCTTCCTGAACTATTAGATAAAGAAAAAGTATCTGTGATTTTTTCTATTCTCTTTGCTATTTATTTCTGGATACAAAATAACCTGAAACAATATAAAACCATTTAAAGCATGAATTAGTCCTTAATCAATTAATCTATAGTTTTTTGCACTCTCCTTTCATTTCGATTATTTTTGTGATTTTATGTTAGATTTCTGTTCTTTTCACTAAAAAATAAATGATCATCAAGTTGTGGACCATAAATAAACAAACGCAATAGAAAAGCAAGGGTTTGCATTGTGGAGTAGCAGGTTTTTTTTTTTTTTTTTTGTGATTTCACATTAGAGTTCTATTCTCTTTGCTAAAAAAAAATTGAAGGATTATTTAGTTCTGGATACAAAATAACCTGAAACAATATAAAACCATTTAAAGCATGCATTAGTCCTTAATCAGTTAATCTATAGTTCTTTGTGCTCGCCTTCCATTTCGATTATTACTCATGAAGTTAGAAAAATAAAGGTTACAATAGCATTTTAGTTTAAAATTTTTTTTTGAGGTAATTTGTGGATATTTTGTTTAATTGTTATAGAAAAAAAATTCACTATTTGATTTTCAGTTCTTAATAGTCACAAATCAATTCTAATTATTAAATTATATTGCAGATTAATGGAAGAGATGGATTATGTAAACTTAAGTGGTGAGTCATCGGATAATTGCAAATTTAGTATGCAAGTTGATCATGGTTCATCTCCCACTGATGAATGTTCTTTGAAAAAAGAAATGCAAGAAAAAAAAAGATGAACCAGAACTTGGAATGAAGTTTAATTCCAATGAGGAAGCATATAAGTTCTACCTCAACTATGGTAGTAAACTTGGCTTCAATATAAGGAGAAATCATCAAAGAAAAAATATAAAAGGTGTCATTACGAGGGTTAGTTTTTGTTGTTCAAAAGAAGGTCAGAGAAAAGAGGACAAATGGATAAAAAATCATTTGTACCGTCAACCTATTACAAGAGTTGGTTGTTTGGCTCATATGACATGCCTAATTCAAAACAGTGAAAAATTCAAGGTTGCGTCATTGAACAAAATCCATAATCACGAGTTAATAAGAACTCCCATGAAACATATGTTGAGAGTTAATTGAAGTATTTCCAAGGCTCAAAAAGCCCATGCTAAAGATACGGACAAGTCAGGAATATCGATAAAATCAACTATGGATTTAATGAGCAGAGAAGATGGGGGAGAGAGCATCTTGGTTTTATATACAAGGATAACCGAAATTACATACATAGAAAGCGAAAGATGGCTATGGAAAGAGGAGATGTCGAAGCTATATTACAATATTTTCATAACATGCAGCTAAAGGATTCATCATATTTTTATTCAATATAACTCAATGAGGATGATATGATCACTAATATTTTTTGGGATGATGCACGCTCAGTTAATGACTTTAGCCTCTTTGGAGTTGTTGTGTGCTTTTGACACTACTTATAGGACAAATGAATATGGTCGACCTTTTGCACCATTTATTGGGGTGAATCATCATAAGCAAACAGTCATTTTTGGTGCAGCTTTACTTTATGATGAAACCTTTGAATCATTTAGGTGGTTGTTTGAGACTTTCCTTGGTGCAATGTCTAGAAAACAGCCTAAGACAATTCTCACAATTCAATCTGCTGCAATGGCAAGAGCAATATCGGATGTCTTTATTGAATCTCAACATCGACTATGTGTTTGGCATATTTATCAAAATGCTGCAAAGAATTTGAGTCATGTATTTCGCTGTTCAAACCAATTTGCTCATGATTTTGGCAACTGTGTATGATTGTGAAGATGAAGATGAGTGGTTATTGGCATGGAATAATATGTTGGAAAAACATTGTCTCAAAGAGAATAAATGGTTGAAAGAATTATTTGAAGTAAGAGAAAAATGGGCAATGGTTTATGGACGACATACTTTCACTGCGAACATGAAAACTACCCAACGTAGTGAAAGCATGAACAATGTGTTGAAGAATTATTTGAAGCCAAAACATGATTTTTTGCGTTTCTTTGAGCATTATGAAAGGGTTTTAAATGATCGGCGGTATGAAGAACTAGCTGTCGATTTCAAGACGATGCAAAGTATGCCTACACTGTTGACCAGTGTGGAGACATTACGTCATGGTGTAGAAATTTATACCCCAGAAGTTTTTCAATTGTTTCAGAAAGAGTACATGACGTTGGGTGATTACATTATATACAAAATGACTAAAGAAGGGACAAAGGTGGAATATAAAGTATCTTGTATTGGAAAATCTCAAGAGCATGTGGTTCAATTTGGCAAACAATTAGTTGTAGTTGTATGAAGTTTACTTTTATTGGAATTTTATGTGCTTATGCATTGAAAGTGTTGGATAAGAAGTATATAAAAAGAATTCCGTCCAAATATATCATGAAACGATGGACAAGAGATGCAAAGGCAAGGACTATCACCAACTATCATGGAATTGAAGCTAATGATAGTCCTGAAGTGTATGTGGGAAAGCGTTACAGTCATTTGT